GGCTGAATCTGGACGCCAGTTCCGACTTACATACAGATTCAACTTAAGAACAAACCTACAGTCCCTATCTTGTACGTAACCCGGGGACTGCCTGTATTTACTAAAAGTTCACCATGCTTTAGGAATAGTAAGTTTTGAGGCTTATTTAGAGTAAGGCTATGAGGCCTACTTCTAAAGACAGAGATTAGTCCACCCATATTTTGACAATATTGAATCACAGTGTTAATCACAATCCAAAATAAGCTACGCAACTAGAGCTATATCAATTATGTAGCTTAACTTGAAATAGCTTATTTCGGCTTTTGGTACTGTCTCCGCAACAGAAAGTCCAAGTTAGAGCATTCTTCCTCTGACTTCCCTTACTCCTTGTAAAATAAGGATTACAGGAGTTGGAGAAAGAAGTCCTCCAGCTCAAGGACATTATTTTGACATTATGTTGAAATAACTGCTTGTTGTGTAGATGTGGATTATGTTATTTTGAAATAATGTCAATTATTCCGAAATAACGCTGCTGTGTAGATACAGCCTTCTATACAGTTAATCACTTCTAAACAGTTAATTCCAAATTGCTTCACTATGAAGCATGGTAATTATGTTTATTAGCTTTATATTCAAAGTAGGTAGGAAAGTCAAGTACTCAAAAATTAGGAAGTGCTTATGAAACTTTAGTTTGGCATATTTGTATATGGAAGCCAGGTCTATATTGGAACTGGAAGATTGGCTTAAGGTACACAACTCCAGCTACATAAAACGTGTAGCTGGAGTTGGCTTACCTTAAGCCGATCTTGGCAGCATTCACACAGCAGGAGGCTGACGGAAGCAAATGGTCCCATCTGCTTTCCTTACTCCTTGCAACTGTGAGGAGTACAGGTGCTGGCTGGAGCTGCCCTCAGTGTTTGATTTATGGGTCTAAATCGAAACCTGTAAATCAAACGCCAGAAAATCTATCTCCAAAGTGGTGAATGTAGCCTTGCCTGTTGTCACATAGGACAGAGAAAAGGAGGGAATCCAGTTCTCCAGAGTCCCAGTCCAATGCATTAAACACAAGAGGACAGGCATTCTCTTTTTGCAGCTTACTGATTCATTTATTGTCCATCCTATGCATTGAATGATGCAGAAGTCCTATAGAACAAATACCGCGTGACTGTGTAATTAAAATCGTGTCATAATGCATACTCACACTGCCATTTACATTTCCTAACTTTTGAGTGTTTGACATTGCAACCATAATGGGAGAGATCCTTCCTCTGGTCTCTTTATTCTGCCCAAAAGGACCAGAGTAGCATTAAGGGGCCCCAAAAGACACGTATTCAATTGGGTGAGTACTTCCCCTGAGGCAAGCGCTGTGGAAGACAACTGTGTGGCTTCCCCCTTCGTCCCCCTCCCACCAAGGACACTCGGGGGGGGGTGGAAGGAGACAGTGCAGAGATTCCAGACAATGCTGCAGCCACTAGGTAAACCCAAGGAGATTATTGTAATTTAGAGAGGCCTTCTAGGGGTCTTGCTAGCCACTGGAGTTGCCTAGGATTCAACGACACACATAGTTGGCTTGAAGCTATCATATCCCCCCCTTGTCTCAGGTTGCTAGTCCTACCCTGTGTCTTGTTAGAGCACAGAATCCCACCCAATCTTCTTCTAACATAAGTTTTGTCATTTTTACGATTTAAAAAACAAACAGAAAACTACGTGAAAGTATATTTACAGCCCCAGCTGGAAGCTCTCATGGACCATTGGCTGGGTATGAAGTCAGGATCTTGAGATTAGAGCACAGATGACCACTTGAGCTAAAGAAACTGGTAGTGTCAGTAGGCTTTTTACCTGTTGGGTGAACCAGCCACAAGGAGAGGCAGGGTGTGTGTGTGAGAGAGAGACATATTTAACATTGAGAAAACAATCTATTTTCCCAATGTTAAACTTAAGCTTATTAAGTTTGCAGATGATACCAAGCTGGGAGGGGTTGCGACTGCTCTGGAGGATAGGGTCATAATTCAAAATGATCTGGACAAATTGGAGAAATGGTCTGAGGATGAAGTTTAATAAAGGCAAATGTAAAGTGCTCAACTTAGGAAGGAACAATCAGTTTCACACATACAGAAGGGGAAGCGACTGTCTAGGAAGGAGGATGGTAGAAAGGGATCTAGAGGTTATAGTGGACCCCAGGCTGAATATAAGTGTGATGCTGTTGCAAAAAAAGCAAACACGATTCTGGGATGCATTAACAGGTGTGTTGTGAGCAAGTCATTCTTCCGTTCTACTCTGCGCTGGTTAGGCCTCAGTTAGAATATTGTGTCCAGTTCTAGGCACCACATTTCAAGAAAGATGTGGAGAAATTGGAGAGGGTCCAGAGAAGAGCAACAAGAATGATTAAAGGTCTATAGAACCTGACATATGAAGGAAGGCTGAAAGAATTGGCTTTGTTTAGTTTAGAAAAGAGAAGACTGAGGGGCGACATGATAGCTGTTTTCAGGTATCTAAAAGGGTGTCATAAGGAGGAGGGAGAAAACTTGTTCATCTTGGCCTTTCAGGATAGAACAAGAAGCAATGGGCTTAAACGGCAGCAAGGGAGGTTTAGGTTGGACATTAGGAAAAAGGTCCTAACTGTCAGGGCGGTCAAACACTGGAATAAATTGCCCAGGGAGGTTGTGGAATCCCCATCTCTGGAGATATTTAAGAGTAGGTTAGATAAATGTCTATCAGGGATGGTCTAGACAGTATTTGGTCCTGCCATGGGGGCAGGGGACTGGACTCGATGACCTCTCGAGGTCCCTTCCAGTCCTATAATTCTATGATTCCCTACCTTTTGTGTGCATAAATGAATGAAATGTTTTTGCTGAAACATTCCAAAAATATTTAGTCTGGAGCAAATAACAATCATGGAAAGGTTAAAATGTGGCAAAGTTGTAAGTAGTTGAAAACAGGAGCTTATAATGAAAAGTAATAGGTAACCTTAAATAAAGACAAACTCCACCTATAATGATTTTAAGAATTCTATCCAGACAAAATTCCTCACACATTAAGATATATTTTTTCATTGATTCTCAAAAAACGTTTTAAATTAAAGGCAAGTAAATTCTTCTGACTTCCCCTACAGATGCCAGGATGAATGTCCAGTGGGGACTTACGGAGTGCAATGTGCAAAAACCTGTCAGTGCATGAATGGAGGGAAATGCTATCATATTAGTGGTGCATGTTTCTGTGATCCAGGATATACGGGAGAACACTGTGAAACACGACTTTGCTCTGAGGGAGTTTATGGTCTAAAGTGTGACAAAAAATGCCCATGTCATTTGCAAAACACTCACAGGTATGTTTTTTTATCTTTTAGCAGATTTTCTCTATGTGGAACATTTAACCAGGAATGTAAAATATAAGGAAATACATTCCTTAGGTTGCCAGGTAGGGTTGCCAGATGGTTTCAACAAAAATACTGGACACACTTGACATTTCATCACAATCTACATTACAATCTACATAACATTGCAGTACATTACATATACATTTCTACATTATTTAGAAAATACTGGACATTTATATTTTCTATTTATATTTTCTCAATTTATTTCCCGAACAGAAAGCTCAAATATGTGAATTTCTGGTTCAAAACCGGCCACCTGGCAACCCTATTTCCAGGAAAAATGAAGCAGCTAAAAAATTTAGACAGACTATTTTAAGTTTTTATAATCACAAGAAACACAATAATAATAAGAAGAAGATCTGCATTTATTTTTTGTTTTATTTGATGTCTTTAAATAGCAACCGATAATCAGATTTTAAGATAAATGTCAAGATGTATTGACACAAGAGATAAAAATTGACTTGGTCTTTGTCTATATTTACTACATATAAAAATAAATCTTTACATTCTTCACCATATGAAGTCAGTTGGCTTGCTTCTCCTCTCACTTGTGCTGGCATACTATTAATTAAGACTATCGCCAATCAATATATATATAAACAATCAGTTTTAATGAGATATATCTGGATTCTCACCATGATGATAAATTTTCAAAGTGTAACTACTTAATCTAATATTCAAGAAAAGTTGAAGTTAGAGGTATTAGAAGGCATTGTGAGAAATAAATTCATGGATTATTTAAATTGTTCAGCATAATTTCTGTTGGCAAGCCATGTAAGAGAGGGCTGTAATTCTCATATTGCACTTACGTACTTATAGTTTGGTGTACTTGTACTTCTGTTTATCGTATCTACTTGAAATGTGATTTGAAATAATACTGTTTGGACAGGATGTGAGATCCAATAAATTATGCGTTGGAGAGAAAATTTGGGAGTAAAAACACCCATAATCCCTCCCCATTTTCCTGCACGTTGTCTGGAATTCAAAACAGTCACATGGGAGCCAAATACTGCTATGTGTAAGAATTACAGTTAACCAGTTTTCTGTAATTTTACTGAAGACTAGCGTGGAAGTTTAGTTTGACAGGAATGTATTGTGTTGTATAGCATTTCTGATATTTTAAGGATTACTTATGATTTTTCAACACAGCTGTTCCTTCATTTATACCTCTGGAAGACAGCTTGCGGTCAAATCAAATCACAAATGTTCAAATGTAAACAGCAGCATATGGCTAATCTTTTTTTGAACATTTTCTCCTTTGTATGACAAATCAAATGGAACTTAGTAATGTTGTGGGTGTGGAAGTATGTGTGTCTGTAAGTGCATGTTACAGATGAATAGAGAAAAAATGAGAGGAGGGAAGCAAAAATTCACAGGCTTCACAAGACATTCATATATTTTTCTTTTTCCTTCGTGCTAGGGGGTGATTAAGACCACCAACTAGTAGCACTCAGATAACTTATGAATAATGATAAATGTTGGCTTCCCTGAGGATACTTCCCTTCCACTTTTGATGATGCAGTTGTTTCTGACTATCTTCTGTGACTAAATGCCAGACCACTGGGAAAGAACTTACTCTCAATTAAACACATCAGGAAACATCTATGTAGAGCTGCCTGGGTATTTTTCCATGAAACATTTTTTGTCAAAAAACTGATTTGTCAAAACAGCAGCTTTTCATAGAATCATATTGAGATTAGTGGGAAGGGTTCTGAGAGCCAGGAAGGAATTTTGGATAAAGAGAGAAGTGGGCTGTACCCACAAAAGCTCATGATACCATCTACATGTTTTGTTAGTCTATAAAGTGCTACTAGATCATTTGTTGTTTTTTAAGTATATCCCAGTATAGTTCATAGTGCAGTGGTTAGAGCACTGGGATGTGGGAGACCCTGCTTCCGCAGCTTTCCTTACGAGTGCCCTCATAATCATGCTACAGAGTTAGTGTCACTTGCTGGCCTAGTGAATATTTAACTATGTGTATGTATACAAAGTAGAACAGCTTCAACAGGGGAGAAAGACTGACTGATTCTATTGCCAGTGATTAGGGCACTTGCTGGTGAAGAATGAAGATCAAGTGTCTATGCTGACTCTTTCAGATACATCAGCTACCTTGAACGCTACCTACCACAAGGAATTGTTGAGATGTCTATCGACCCAGACAGGGATAGCAATGTATTAGTGTGACATTGTTCTCTTCTGTCCTAGATGGCTCAGAGGGCAGTTCTGTGTTACTGCCTGTCTGTGCCAAGGGCTCTTTCATGGAATGCTTTGTTCTACTCCCCGTCATCATTATGTATGTGAAGTTGTCTGGGTTGCAGTGCCAACCATACACAAATGATGTGCAGCATGTGTTTGTGATCTTATACCAAATGATGCTGTTGATCAGTTTTCCAGTAATTGGGCATGAATGAAAGTGAGGCTAACCTAAGATAAAATAAAAGTAAAACTAGAATGTTACAGGAACAACGTGAGGAATTGGCAAAGGTAATATTTAGCTTCTTTTAATGAGAGGAATTGCTTGTCCTTGCTACTCAGGTCCACAAACCGGGGGGCCTTGTTAGATCTTTGGTTGCTTCTGGAGGTTCAAATGGCAGGTGTCAGCAAATAGTAACTGCCCATCTGTCTCTGGCAAGACAGTTATTTCCTGTTGTTTTGGATATGAACCTGCACTATGTCATTTTGAGGCTGGATTGCTGCCTTTCCTCTGCTTTGGTGGTATCTGGTGATCATTTGGAAACTTTAGGAGGTACAGAATGAAGCTCCTCACTTACCTAGCAGTAATTCATATAGGGAGCAAACTACACAGAGTACACTGTTTTCCAGTTCTTTTCTGAATGCAGTTCAAGTTGTACTATTTTTGATCTGGTGTGCTTGTCTTGGCTTCCTATTGCATCGTTGTTCCATATGGCAGTTAAATCAGCAGGGACACTCAACCTGGCTCCCCAAGGTCATTCTTAATAGTGGGGCTTTGACCCAGGATTTATTCATGGGCTTGGGTTTAGCACAGTCCCAGTATGCTGCTGTTCAGAGCATATCTATTCTCTCATGTTTTTTCTGAGGGAAGAATGGAGGAGATGTTGGGTGGATTCAGCTTGTGTGTGCTAGGAGTGTTTTTAATGTTGACATTAGATCATTTTGTATTTCTGTATGAGATTTTTATGGAATTGAACATATACATAGAGTTTTTCATAGGACCATTTTATAAATTGAAATAAATACATGGCATAAAGTCTTTATATTTATACACATACACATTAAATGTTAACAAAAATGAACAGGAAAAGAAGCAGAAATGCTTGCAACATCTATGCTACCTTTCTATCTCAACACACAAATCTTATTGCCAATTAAGCTAACTGCATGAGAACCATCAAAAAAGCTTCAAAAGTGCTCTAGCTTCCTACATCTAATTACAAATTACTGAATACTAATTTTGGTGTCAATCAATATATGTGCGAGTATGCCTTACTAATACTCACAATGCCTTAGTCTGTCTCATATGCTACACACTTAAAAAAAAAACAGCTCAGAGGATTTATTTCCTAAAATCACTGTACCACTAATTTTCATTTTTATATATTTATCTTATTTCTTCATTCTATGCTGTCCATTGTTGGCAGGGTTGAGAATGCTTTCCAGATCACTGAATACTTCCTATAGTGGTAAGAAATCTGGGGATTATATCCAAAATGCCTCTGGAGGTATGTAGAAAACCAATTTGGTATAAGGATCTTCCTTCTCAGGAAACACATTTTTGCTTCTCTTTCTACATCATGTGTTTCCTGAGGTGAACATGTATTTCATTTGAGAATATTTCCATTCCAGCCCCAATTACCTGTAGTTCTCATATATTAATATACAGACTATTCTCAGCAAACACCACATAACCTGTTGATGTGGCTTGAACTGTTTCCATACACACTAGATCAACCACTCTAAACTTCTCAGTCACCATCCAAATGAAAAGATTAGGGTGCCAGATTTTCCCTCTGATTTACCAAAGTTTTACTCTAAACTAGTCTTGCATTATTAAAAAGAGATGTATACATTCCCTATTTTCACTTGTGACTATTTTAAGATGATGATGATTAATTCTGCAATACCCCAAAGTGCTATAAATACTTGTCATACCTTCAGACCGGAAAACGACCCCTCAGTTTTTTTCCTGTGTGTGTGCATGCGCGCGGCACACACACACACACACACACACACACCGACCGCAAATTAACACACACACACACACACACACCGACCGCAAATTAAGGAAGTCTTGGGCATTTAAAACTTCCTTGTTGCCTTGGGTCATTTAATGTGTCTGGACTTAGACACTTTCTTTCCAGCACACTTCAGGGGACTTTACTTTAATCAGTGCCAGAAGACTATCTTTAAACAGTCTTCCCATTGTAAATATATTTGATCTGGATATTAAGGCTTCCTTTGGTGAGAATTAAGCAAATGCTTTGTCTGCCAGAGTGCTACAGAGTACTCCATTGTGTCCACTTTTCCAGCACATATATCTTAGCACAGCTGATGATGTCCATTTGTTATGAGACAACAGCTGTCTGACTAGCCATTCAATGGAACTGCTGTTTCAGGTAGAGACAGCTGGTCCATCACCAGGTATGTACAGCGTAGACTAGACACATTCTAAAAGGTCACCCAGTTTGACAGTGCCTCTGACTTCTCCTTATGAAAGTGATTTCTTGGAAAGAAGCCAGTTGTACATTTCTTAACCACAGCTTTAAAGAGAAGAACATTCAAATTACTCTTTGAATGCTGCTTTATTAAAGAAAATTATCAACTTTCTCAGACAAAAGGATTGTATTTCTAAATGGGCTTTGTAAGAAAATAAGATGCTGATTCTAACTATTATTTGAAAAATAGTTATAGCTGAATTACCAAGAGTCATAGAAGGAAGCTTGACATTTTTCACCATTTAAATATTTTTAATGTCATGAGAAATTCACAGTTGTGAAATGCAGGTGTAATATATGAAGGGTTTTTTAAATTCAGATATGGAAAAGATAGATCTTTTCTTCTCAAACCAAATAAATGCATACCTTTGTAACTATATGTATTAGTGTTACATTATGTAACATTGTACTAATTGTGTGTGTGTGTGTTTAGTTTGGGGAAAAAATATATATCTTTATACACAGTATATATATATATCTTTATACACACAAAATATATATCTTTATGATGGATAGGAGGAGTGCTGGCCAACACCCAGTGACTAGGGGGTTAAATCAGGTAGCTAGCAAGGGTGTTAGCAGGGGGCCAGAAGAACCAATGGGGATACAATGCTGCAATTTGAATTGGATATAGATACCTGGTCTGCTCTTCCTTTGTAGGGATTTCTAAGAAAAGTGCTGGAGAAAGCAGATGCAGGGTTCAGAATTACCATGCCTATATGAAATATTGGACATGGGAGTAAACTTGACAGATCAGCATATATTGTGAATAGAGGGAAAGTGTAACTAGTCATGATCAGGGTATTTTTCTTTATTTTGATTGTGTGGTTTAAACTTCTGTGTGTGAATCCATGCCTTCCCTCTCCCATTCATTATCTAAGGGTATGTCTACACTACAAAGTTAGTTCGAACTAACAGACGTTAGTTCGAACTAACTTTCACAGGTGCTACACTAGCGCTCCGTTAGTTCGAATTTAATTCGAACTAACGGAGCGCTTAGTTCGAACTAGGTAATCCTCATTCCACGAGGATTAAGCCTAGTTCGAACTAGCTAGTTCGAATTAAGGGGTGTGTAGCCCCTTAATTCGAACTAGTGGGAGGCTAGCCCTCCCCAGGTTTCCCTGGTGGCCACTCTGGCCAACACCAGGGAAACTCTACTGCCCCCCTCCCGGCCCCGGACCTCTTAAAGGGGCACGGGCTGGCTACGGTGCCCGTGCCAGGTGCAAGCCTGCCAGCACCC